GTCGTGTTCTTCAGTCCATCTGGTGTCAAATTTTGCCTCCAGCACATTCAGAAGCTTTCGGGGGATTTTATCAACCATATCAAGGTATCATCTCTTTAAAAGTGGTGAAATACAGCAGGGAGTAAGTTTGGGGTGGGCAAATGGGAGATAGGAAAGCTGTTACACCCGTTACAAACCTTCATTTTCTCTTTTGTTTATTTCTCTGAAAAAACAGGTTATACCCAGATAGCAAATCCAAATGTTATATAGCCGAGAGCCTTTTTTAAAAAAAAACAGAAAAAGGAATTGTTTTAATCTAGAATTTTTCCCCCAACTATCTCGCCCAGTCTCCACCGGGTATAGGCTTTATTTTCTCGTGGTGATGGGAAGGTGTGAATAGTTCTTGCTTGAATCAGCAATGACAGGCTGAGGCCTATTAAAATTGCTCTCACTTTTCCTGTTTTGTGGGACTAAGAGCTTTAAATGTTTGTCGTGGTGAGATAAATAATCTTTCCTAAGTAATTTCTAAGTAGCTCAAGCGGTAGGCGGTTTTTAGTACTGAAAATCTTCGACCTGAGTGGTCAGTACAGTTCAGTAGGCTCAGCTATGCAAGTTGCTACACCGACAACATCAGCAAAGGAGGGGTCGGTACCTAACTAACTAGTAAGAGCTGATGCCGTACCTGACTACGCTACTACACCCGTAAATAATGTCGTTTCAGTTTGCTGCTATCGGTCCAACAACTGCCGAAGCCCTGGAAGCCGCAGGAATCCCAGTCAGCTGCACTGCAGAGAGCCCGACTGCCCAGGACCTCGCCGCTGGGATCCAAAAAGCCCTTCGCTTACAGAACTGCTGTTTATCGAAATGAGAGCCCAGCACGCGTTTGAAGGTGAACATGGTGCTGTAGAGTTTTTCCATTTTGCAGACCTGATGTCCCGCAAGAAAGTATTTTTCAGGAATATGCAGCGCTGACCTTGTCAGGGCCTGGTGTGAGAAGCTTGCATCTAAATATTTAAGAAATCTAGAAATTGTCCAGCATCTGTTAAAGCATCTCGCTGTTCCCCTTTTCTCACGTGTGCAGTGTCGGTATTTTATGTGGGCACACCTTGAAAACTAGCTGTGAGAAGCTGATGGCATCAGAGTAGCGCATTGGAGTAAGTAAGTTCAGTGTTTCACCTCGGGTATCTCCTAGCACACCAGGCAAGGCGTATCATTTCTCTCTGTGATCAGTTTTACACGCACATCTTCTTTTTCTTTTGTAGAAGAGCAGCATACTCGCAATGAAGTATTCTCCGTTGTAAAGCTAGCTTGCTTATTGTTCTGCTTTTCAATATTTATATTGAAATGATGATTGTAGAGTCTCACTGGAATAGGACAATTCTTGCAGTGAAGTTGCACTGTGTGGAGCTAATCGCAGGTTGGCTGTTCCCGCTAACTATCCTTACAGTACAGGGTCTTCAAAAAGTAGGTTTTGGTTTCTATTCCTGTAATGAAGGAGAATTTGTTAACAGAGAAATAAACTGGCTTATCATCGTTAATAACGGTGTTAGCGTTGTCTGGCTTGGATGTGGTTTATGCTTTAATTGTTTATCTGTGAAAGGAGAAAAAGTAATCCTATTTAGCACTAATGCTACCTTTGCTAATGCTAAGGAATTCATCGAAGATTTAAATGATAATATACTTAATTATAATCCTCATGGAAATCATTGGTGCTGTTAGCGTAGTGCTGAGCTTCATAGAATGACGGAGAAATCCTCATTTGCTCTGAGTTTCTATTAGCTTAATTCTGAGCATATGACCCGAATTTCCAATTAGGTCAGATGCTCTGTACCTCAAATAAGTTCATCTGAACCCAATTACGTTAATATAAACTGAAGTAATTTCACATTGTGTATTTGGGTGCATCAGTCAGAGCCGGCACGATAAGACAACGGCTTTGCTTTATAGAGCAGTTCAATTTCTTGCGATGAAACAGGGTCTCAGAAGTACACGAACTGCTGGGAGATGATGGTGAACGGTGGGAGGAATACTTCAGGACTCGAAGCGCCCTAGATGCGGCTGCAGGACGGTGTAGGCGTGCCCCAGGGAAAGAAGGGAGGGAAGGATTACGCAGCAGTTATTGACTTTGCGCCCCCGCCCCTTTTTAAGACGATTGACGTTAAGCTGTTGAACAGTCAGGTTCAGCTGGGTAGCGGCGTTGTAACATGGAGCGTGCAGTACTGTTTGTTTCTGCGTTCAAAAGTAAAGCCACGGCCGAGGGGGGGTTGGGAGGCTGTGCCAGTCCCCTCTCCCCGGAGAAGATTTGCGTGCGCTGGTGCTTCGGGGAAGAGGAAGAAGGGGAGACAGGGTTAAGAGAAGAGAGCGAGACCTGGAAACAGAAGCCAGCTGTGGGCTTGTGCTCCTTTGCCCTGTACAGCAAACTCCTTGCTAGCCTAGGTTACACCTAGTTGTTCGTCTCACTCACCAGCTCAGGCCTGTTTCTACATGGCTTTCCAGCAGAAACTGTCAGTAGCCATCATTGCCAAGTGACCCGTACTTATCACAGTCAACATAGCAATACAAAACCAAGACCACAAAGGGCTCTAGCAGGAAGTCAGGCTGCCCTACATCTGCCACGTACGGTGTTCGATACACCGCGCCCGTGGTTGTTTCACTCCGTACCAGCCTGCCTTTAGCACTCTGCCCGCACCGTTAAGCGGCAGGAGCCGTTCTCCTGCGGGGGACGCGTCCTACCTCAACCGCGTCCTACCCAACCGCCGCGGCATTCGCACACCAGGGAGCGCCCAGGGCTCCTGGTAGGAAGCAGTTTGGGAGGTGACAGACCCGATCTGCTCCGTGTGACTCGGTGAAGTACTGGCAAATATTACTTGCCTTTTGTTACAGGGAAGGAAGAGGAGGTTACATAGCTTCCCCCAAAATCACGGTAACAGCCTGTTGCTGCTTCTCAGAGCCGACGCTGAGGCTCTTTGACTGGCTGACAGGCACGTGCCAAATACTGCTCTGCTAGCAGCTGCTTCCAAAATCAGCAAGGAAACGGTGTTTTCTTCTGACTGCTTTTTACAGCACTCATTTTAGGTTGTTTTTTGGTTTGGGGGTTTGTTTTTTTTTTTTTGAAATTGCAGAAAAGCCTCCCCCCCGCTGCCTCCTGCCCCTCCACCCCCCCACCCCTTCTACCTCACATTTTCTCAGGAGAAAGCACTGCCTTTCAGCAGGGCTCTGCGCAGGGCCAGGAAGATGCACTCGAGCAGGCAGAATCCCTTCTAAAAAAGCCGCTGTGGGGACCCGGTTCAGTCCCAGGAGGACCAGAGGTGACACTCTGGTCTGACACTCTTCTTTGGGACAGGCCTTCTCGACAGCTCCTCTTGAACGAGGCGAGAACCCCAGCAGTGCACACACTGACCTCTTGCAGTAAGGTCCCATCAGAGGGGTTTGGCTGGAATTTCCCCTTACCATCAGCCGATCCTCTCAGCGGGAATCTCCCTCTCTGTTCTCTGTGCCCGAGATCCTGTTACTGACCTCAGCCATCTTGCTTCGGCACCCCTCAGCTCCTCTGCTCTGAAGAAGAGACTTTGTCACGAACACATTTCTCCTGCCCCTCACCACTGCCAGGCTTCCTGATGGTAACAAGCTCGGGCATCGCGCTTTTAGCCATCTCTTCAGGCCCCTGCAGCTTTGACCTCAGCAGAAGCGAGGAGGGTGGAAGGGGCATTGCAGGAAGCCTAAGCCCCCACTCTGCCGCCTTTTTCGGATCAGTCATCCCGAATCAGAAGCAACGGAACAGATCCATGCGCCGCCTGCCATCTTTCATCCTTTCACAAGGTGCTTTGGTTCTTTCAGGTGCAGTTGTGCTCCATGTTGCAGCAGAAAGATCGGGGCTCTTCTGAAGGCAGAGCGGAGCACGCACATGTAAAACCACGTTTGAAGCGTCGGGATAGAAATTTCTACAAACTGGGGGTTTCTGGGTGAAAACACACCCATCTAAAAAAGCATCATTCTGTGTCTCTCACCGAGAGCAAGACTCACCTCCTCGAACCAAGCAGCTGAAATAGTTCAGTCACTACCTGTGTATGAAGTATAGAGAGATGAAAATACATACGTAGGCGTACATGCACACATGTAAAAACTGTTAATACTCTGAAATAAACAGTGTGTTTTGTACTGTTATTATAAAATAACGGACTACATGTATTTGTAGAAAAACATTAAGACATCAGAAGCTATATTTCTGAAAACTTTATCTCTACATATTTCGAAAAAACAGAGTCCTCAGGTGCTGAGATTAATACTACACGTGGTTTTTTCCAGCCCCCACTGCCTTTCCAATAGTTTTAATTCTGTTGAGCAGTTTGCTTTTCTGGTGAGGGTCACAGCAGTCATAACCAATAAAAACAAGAGAGATTCATGAGTTTATATTTAATAAATAAATTTTTATTTAAAAATACACTCTCATTTATTCACAGTTTCAAGTCTGAAAAAGATAACACTATTCTCGATCAACTCAAGCACAGCTAAAACCACTCACTTCCTGGGGCAAATGAAATCCCAGCGATGGCTAATATCGGCAAGGGTCTTGCATCGCAGCTAGGAAGGCACACGTTTTTGTGCAGGGTAGTAACTGTCATGGAAGTAGTGTGTCCGTCCGTCCACACAGTCAGCAGACATTTCCTTGTACAACTTCGGTTCCTGTTACCGGTTGAAGTGTTCCAGTGCAGCCTTGCTTACAAAGCGTATCTCATTAAATATCAAACCAGAGCAACTGTGAGATTACATTTTTATGCAAAACATCTATATCACTGCAAAGCCCGTTACCGGTGAGAGGAAAAACCAGGAATTTCTCCAACATAAAAAATTGTTACGTTTATATCCAGAACCCCAAACTGGCATTTCAAACAAAGAAACGCTAGTAACTGAAGCATTACGGAGTTCTCGCAGGATAAAAAGGAATTCCTGCTCTTTCCCAGATGTACAATGTAACAACGCAGGCGAGATTATCACCTTCAGTAAATACAAATATCACATGGGAAAAGACACCACCGATCCCATGCATAGCAAGGCACGGTTTCTGCTGTTCCGCAGCGTTTCAGTCACTGAATTCCTCCATTACCGGCTTCGCTATTCCGAGCCAGCTGCTCCAGTAACGTCAAGATTACCTCTATTCGTTCTAGCAGAGTCATGCTTTTGTTAGCCGTCGCACGCAACAGCAGGGAGTAAACTTGCTTGTTTGTTTTAAGAACAGCTTCTTCTTCGTTAATGCCCCTGAAAAGAAAACAGAGAATCCAAACTACTGACCTGCCACAATATTTTATTCTGCAAGTTACCAAAACAATTAAATAACAGCGTTGATGACTATCCCCATGAAACCACATGGCGGGTGTTCGGAGTCGAGTCTCGTAGTTCCTTAGTTCCCATTTCCTACCACTTCGCAGCACTGCGGGCAGAGCCTCCGCTTCTGCGGCGGGAGGGATAAGGCGTTCCCATTTTTATTCGGCTCCAGTCTGGCCATTTTGTTAACTCACGATCCCAAGTCACATCATAAACCCTCCAGAATCCAGGTCTCCGTGCCAAAACTCCGCACTCTTTTCTCTAGGTCTGTGCCTAACCCGCTCGTGCCAAACGCGACCAGACACCTGAACGCTCGAGGCGTGCGCCGTTCGCTCCCAGCTCTCCCCTCTGAACCACCACAGACATCGTTTTCCCCTTCGAGTCTGAGGCCCAGGACCTGCCCCGCTCTCTCAGCTCCGCACGTCTAAGCCATTTCCCTGCGAGAGAGACTTTCCCATGCTCAATACCTCTACACAAAAGAGCTTTTCCTCGTTCGCCAGTCTGCAGTCCAAGCTCCCAGCAATTTTCTCAATTTGACAAATATTG